AACCCGCGCTGGTGCACCAACCCGCGCAAGTGCACCAACCCGCGCTGGCGCACCAACCCGCGCAAGTGCACCAACCCGCGCTGGCGCACCAACCCGCTCTCGCGAGACGGCGGGGAGGAGGAAGAGGCGACGGCGGGGAAGAGGGAGAGGCGACGGCGGGGAGGAGGGAGAGGCGACGGCGGGGAGGAGGGAGAGGCGACGGCGGGGAGGAGGGAGAGGCGACGGCAGGGAGGAGGGAGAGGCGACGGCGGGGAGGAGGGAGAGACGACGGCGGGGAGGAGGGAGAGGCGACGGCGGGGAGGAGGGAGAGGCGACGGCGGGGAGGAGGGAGAGGCGACGGCGGGGAGGAGGGAGAGGCGACGGCGGGGAGGAGGGAGAGACGACGGCGGGGAGGAGAGAGAGGCGACGGCGGGGAGGAGGGAGAGGCGACGGCGGGGAGGAGGGAGAGACGACGGCGGGGAGGAGGGAGAGGCGACGGCGGGGAGGAGGGAGAGGCGACGGCGGGGAGGAGGAGAGGCGACGGCGGGGAGGAGGGAGAGGCGACGGCGGGGAGGAGGAGAGGCGACGGCGGGGAGGAGGGAGAGGCGACGGCGGGGAGGGAGGGCGAGGCGACGGCGGGGAGGAGGGAGAGGCGACGGTGGGATAGGAAGAAGCGGCGACGGCGGCTGGGAAGGAGGGAGAGGCGATGGTGGGATTGGAGGGAGAGGCGACTGCGGATTGGGAGGAAAACGCAAGATGAGTCTCTCATTCAAGAGACTCTGGAGCAGGAGCAACGCAGTACAGAGTCGAGAATCTGAGAAGGGAAGAACGACGAAGGGGAGGAAGAGGGGTGTTCTGTGGGTGGTTGTAAGGAAATTCCCCTTTCCTTACTTCGCGTCCCTGCTCAACGCGTACATCACTGTAGCACCTCAGTCAGCACCGTTACCACTCGCGACCATCGCATCATTCATCATCCCGCCCTTTTCGCACATCGCATCCCGACCTCACGGCTCGGCTGGTAACCCGCGCTCCGGGCCTACGCTTCGACACTTTCCAAACCTCAGTCCCAGGCTCGTCGCGCGACCATTACCGTTACCACTATAGTTTCGCTATATAATGTTCGCTCATGCCTTCGCTCAATTGTATTCTTGCTTCGATAGTGCAATTCTCGTTCGTTCACTCAATTGCACTCGTAACACTTGGTATTCAGAGCCTACGATCTCATCTCGGACCGCATCCACACCTTCGCTTCCCACTATCTCAATTTTTGGGGGGGGTAGACGTCTCTCAGCGACACAGCACCGCCGCTCGTAGTGCTCTCTCGAAAGCACGCACGGCCACGACCGAGGCTCTCGCTGAGCTTGCCCGACACCCCCGCCATGGCCGATTTCAATCTCGCCACGTTGACGCAGGAGCAACTCGATCGTCTCGTGCGTCAATTGGAGGATTCGGCGCTCGAAATCGCGACTCTCACGGCGGAACGTGACTCCGCCCGTCAACAGTCAACGGTGAACGTACCGACGACATCACACGCACAAACCAATGCATCCGCACATTTGGAGGAGCCCATCGTCATCTCATCCGGCACACCAACGCAACACAACAGCACGGGACAGCGCTCAGGCGCAGCCAGTGACGGCGCAGCCCAACCGATGCCCGGCATGGGAGGGAACAGGAGCGCATTAAGCCCACGGGAGCCCCGAGAAGCCTGTCGGCACGTGGAGTTTGCGGCGACAAGTGGCGAGAACGCCATGATGGCCCCAATGCCACTCAAGCCGCAACGCCCGCCCTGCTTCGACCCAAGCCAACGCGGCGGCCCGACAGTTCAATCGTGGGTCTTCACGATGAATGTGTTTTTCGACGCCAACTACGTCGAGTCGGACGCCGCCAAGATCCGGTATGCGGCTTCACTACTCAGGGGCCCCGCCATGGACTGGTGGCGAGTCATTGTGACGTCGCCGCGCGCCTACGAGCCACCGTCGCACGAGGAAGGGCCCTCGGGTCCAGCTGTTATCTGGAGTTCGTTCTGCGAAACCGCTCAATACAGCACGTGGGATGCGTGGTGCGCAGGACTTCGGGCGCGCTTTGAGCCGATCGCGGCCTCGATTTCGGCGCGTCAGAAACTGCGCACTTGGCGCCAGCTCGGGTCAGTTCAAGACTACACCAGCGGGTTTCTCGCACTTTGCGAACAGGTCGGCTACATGCACGAGGCAGAGCGGGTGGACCGTTACGTCGGAGGGCTGAAGCCGGACATCTCGCACGAGATAATGCTACGCGGACTCTCGAATTTCAACGAGATCCTCGCGCTCGCCGAGAAAATCGATATCCTACGCCGACCGAGACCAGGGTCCTATTACGGACATCGTCCTCGGGGACCGACCGAGCACGCCACTGTACATGCCGTCGCAGCGAATGCAGCTGCCGCGCCGTTTAGAGGGCGCTGCTTTGCTTGCAACCGGCCGGGCCATCGCAAGAGCGAATGTCCAGAGGAGCTGAGGCGTCGAGGAGCAGAGCAGGGGAGGGAGTCTCGGAGGCAGGGAAACGCCAGCAGTCAGTAGAAGTTGGGCCAACTACTGACGAGACTGCCTGCTTGCCCAACCACACCGACCCTCACCGAGTCACAGTACCGATTCACGCCATCGATCGGGCTCGGATGAATAAGGAGGGTACAGCGACGGATTGCCCGGTACTGATCTACGGGAAAATACAGGGAGCAGCAATGAAGATCTTCATTGACGGAGGAGCAAGCCACAGCTTAGTTAATACCGCAACCGCACGAAAATTACAGTTAACGCTTAACCGATGTTTACCTGAGATAGATGCACGCTTAGTCGACGGCACGCCCCTGGCCATACGGGAAAAGGTGGAGCGCGTAAAAGTCCGCTGCGGGGGGAACTTCGGGTTTACACAGGAAATGCTCGCGACGACACTGGATGGGCACGACATTTTATTGGGACGTGATTGGCTGCGACGGTACAACCCACGGATCGACTGGACGACGGGGAGCTGCACAGTGCGAAGTAGTGGTAATTGGGTCGTTCTACCTCGCTGGCAGACACCCAAATCTTCGACGGTCCAGGTCAACGCCATCACGATGAAACGGGCTGTCGCTGCTGGAGCTGACGTGTACGCAGTGGATATCGCACTCGTAGAAAAAGATGAGCAGCTGAGTGATTTGGAGAAACTGCTGGCAACTGTACCGACCGAACTACAGGCACTACTGAAACAGTTCCCGGGGATATTTCCGGATGATTTACCACAGGGACTGCCACCTCAGCGGGCGCACGACCATAGGATCGAGTTAGAACCGGGGGCACAGCCAACTGTACAGCGGCAATTTCGACTGACACAGCCCGAGCTCGACGAGTTAAGGAAGCAGTTAGATTACCTGTTAGAGAAGCAGTTTATCCGTCCGAGCTCGTCACCGTTCGCCGCACCGATACTGTTCACACCGAAAAAAGACGGAGGGTTCCGCATGTGCATCGACTACCGAGCGCTTAACAGGGTAACAGTCAAATCGCGATACCCCATCCCCCGCGCCGACGAACTGATCGACCAACTGCGAACAGCACGAGTCTTTTCGAAAATAGATTTACGGGGAGGTTACCATCAGATTCGGGTCGAACCATCGGACTGCGCCAAAACAGCATTTAGGACTAGGTACGGGTCATTCGAGTATACAGTAATGCCATTCGGGCTGACGAACGCGCCCGCGACATTTCAGATGACCATGAACGAGGCGTTTAGACCACTTTTAGATAAATGCGTGATAGTTTACCTGGACGATATTCTAGTTTACAGCCGGGATAAGCAGCAGCACTTAGTGGATCTTGAAGCAGTTTTTAAGGTTTTGGAGGAACATCGGCTACTCACCAAGGGCTCCAAGTGCGAGTTTTTTCGGGACAGGCTAGAGTTTTTGGGTCACGTCATTTCGGAGGCTGGGGTTGAGATTGACCCAAAGAAGCTGGATACGGTAAAAGCGTGGCGCCCCCCGACGAACATCACGGAACTGCAGAGTTTTTAGGTTTTGTTAATTACGTTCGACGGTTCGTGCCCGACATGGCACGTTTAACAGCCCCACTCACTGATTTACTGCGTAAGGGGGTCGCTTTTACGTGGGGGGAGAAAGAGCATGCTGCCTTCTCTGCCCTGAAAAACGTTCTCTGTTCACCACCCGTTCTACGCATCGCTGATCCCCACCGCCCTTTCGAAGTGGTTACCGACGCAAGTGACATCGCCATCGGAGCTGTACTGTTACAGGACTTCGGCGACGGCCTCCAACCCATCGCCTACGAATCACGCAAACTACATCCGCCTGAGCGAAATTACCCGATACACGACCGCGAAATGCTTGCGATCGTGCACGCATTCAAAGTATGGCGCTGCTACTTGACCGGCGCAGACGTGACAGTACGGACAGACCATCGATCTCTACAGTATCTCCGCGCACAGCCCCACCTCAACCCACGACAGATTCGATGGCTCGATTTCCTCGAGTCGAATTTTCACTATACAGTCACATACAAAAAAGGAGCCTCGAATATCGCCGACGCACTGACCCGCCCCACTGCCCAGATCCACGCGATACTACTCGCCCAGACAGCCCGCTACTGACAGGCCTATTTACCCACGGATATCAAACAGACCCGTTCTTTACAGGAGGCAACTCATGTGAAACAAGTGAACAGGAATGTGTGAACTATGAATGAAGGCAGTACAAATATGAAACCCTAACTGGGTTGTACCCCCTATGGGATACCCCACTACAGCCTACACAATATTATAAGCTATAGATATGTTCTGACACACCCCCATAGGCAAAGTGGGGGAGAACAAGGGGTCACAAGACCAGTCAAGCAAAGCAAAGCAAAGCAAGCTCGGGGTGGATCACAAAGTCACCACACAGTCCGAGCACAAGAGCAGGGCCAGAGGCCAGTTCACATGCAGGAGTACAGACATATATATATATAAAACTAGACAAGCAAGAGCAGGTATATATATATGTCACAGTACAAGTATTGTCAAGAGGAGAGCAAGTGAGGCAAGACAGGCACAAGACCCAGCTGGGTGCAGAGGCGCTGATGGTCACAAGGCGCGAGTGCCTTGGTGAACACATCAGCAGTGTTGGCCTCAGAGGCCACGTACGCAAGCCGCAACTGTCCACGCTGCTGCAGCTCACGAGCAAGGAAGTAGCGAAGAGCAATGTGCTTCGTTCTGTGCTCCAGACGCTGCTCTCGACACAAGGCCAGCATGGCCTTGTTGTCTACGTACAGCACTGGAGGAGAACGAGGCGGCTCTCCAAGGTCAGTCAGCAGGTAGGTGAGCCAGCGAAGCTCTTGTGCAGCCATGGCCCCAGCGTAGATCTCAGCCTCACAACTGGAGCTGAGAACCGAAGACGAGCGAGTAGCCCGCCAGAAACAGAGCCGGAACCAAGACTGAAGGTGTAACCCTGTGACGACCGCTGCGTAGCCTGGTCGTCAGCCCAAGAAGCGTCCGCGTGCCCTGTAAGGACCACTGGACTGCGCCCTCCAAGCACTAGCCCCATGCCCGACGTACTGCACAGGTAGCGCAACACCCTCTTCGCTGCAGCCATGTGCTCTGGTCGGTGTCTCCCAGGAGCAACATAGCGTGCAAGAATGCTCAGAGGGTATGCAAGGCCAGGTCGTGTGCAGGTCATCACGTACATGAGGCAGCCAACAAGCTCTGGGTACGGGCCACTCGACTCTACGGACTCATCCGAAGGCAGAGCTGAGAGCGAGTGGCGAGTAGACAGAGGAGTGGCCTGAGGCGAGGAGTACGTGAAGCCGAAGCGCTGAAGGACCTGCTGCACCATGTGTGACTGAGTCAAGGTAATGGTGCGGCGTGCTCTGTCCCGAGTGATCTGCAAGCCAAGGTAGCTGCGCAGTTCACCCAGGTCTGTGCACGTGTGTCTCTTCAGCAGCTCGGACTTCACGTAGGCGAGTCCAGCAGTGTCCGCTGTGGCAAAGACCAAGTCGTCGACATACACGAGGATGTAGAACGGCGGCAGAGAAGTGTCGGTGCGCAGAAACAGCGACGGGTCAGCAGTAGAAGGAGCAAACCCAAGAGCCGCAAGCGTAGTCCTCAGTGTGTCGTGCCACTCACGCGGTGCCTGGCGGAGACCGTAGACTGGCCGACGGAGGCTCCACTGGGTGCCAGGAGGGAAAGTCCCAGTGAAGCCAGGTGGACGGCGCAGCCAGATCTCCTCGTGCAGGCTACCCTGCAGGAACGCAGTGCTGAAGTCGAGAGAGTGAAGCTCGTAGTCGCGCTGAGCGGCTATGTGCAGCAGCACCCGAAGAGTGGTCATCTTCGGGGTGGGAGAGAAGGTCTGAAAGTAGTCAACTCCCTGCCGCTGACTGAAGCCACGAGCAACGTACCGCGCCTTGAAGACAGGTGGAGAGCCCGGCGGCCGCTTCACCCTGAAGATCCACATGCCACTGACGATGTTCGCCCCAGGAGGGGGAACTGCGTCAACGTAGGTGCCTGTGGACTTCCAGGAAGCCATCTCTGCATCCATAGCTGCCTGCCACTGAGACGAGTAGGGACCCTCTACGGCCTCCGCGTAAGAGCGCGGAGTCAGGATGTCTAGTGCATCCGGGTCTCCCTCAGGAGCAAGCAGTACAGACGCGAGATGAGGTGAAGCAGCCGCCAGATACTGTAACTCCTCCTGCCTGTCCTCTAGGACGTCCGTGCCAAGAGCACAGTCACCCCCGACGGACAGAGGACAATCAGACGCTGACTCAGCAACAAGACTACCAGCGTAGTTTAGACGACAGCGAGCAGCAAAGTCGACGAGCTCAGCGACAAGGGCAGACGCAGCAGTGGACTCAAACGAGGGGTCAGTGACGACAGTAGCAAGGAGACGCGTGACAGTAGGACTGGCAGCACGAAGAGAGTCCGACTCAGGGTCGGCAAGCGCAGGAAGAGAGGACTCAGGAGGAGAAGGCAAAGGGGCACGCAGAGGAGCAGTGGACGGACGCAGAGACATCCGGTGCGTGCCAGGGACAGGAGGAGGACGCTGACGCGAACCGCGACCACTAGTGCGAGCAACACGAACAGGCGACGCAGGACGAGACGCAGGCTCACGACGCTCAGCAAGACCCCAGTAGGACCTGTGTAAGGAGAGGGAGCAGGCAGTGGAGAGGAAGGCTCCAACAGGGACTGCGACTGGACAGGCTGTGGACACTCTACCGGAGGAGAAAGACCAAGAACCTGCTGTAGGAGCGGAACGAAGTACGGCCGAGGCCGCGCGACAACTCCAGACTCAGCAGGAACAGCACCAGCACCCTCAGCGACAGCACCAGCGCCACCAACACCTCCAGCGGCAGGACCTCCAGCAGCACCAGTAGTAGAACCACCGCCGGGACAGACAGCAGTAGTCTCAGCACCAACACCCTCAGGAGCTCCTGCTCCAGGAGTACCCGCAGACCCAGCAGCTCCGGGACCAGCAGCACCAGCACCCTCGACGGTCGAAGAAGCTCCAGCTCCAGCAGCACGCCTCCAGCGGCGAGCAAACCACTCGCGCAGCTCCTGTGGAGAGAGGGGCTCCCGGCGAGACGCAGCAGCAGGAGAAACCCCAGGCTCAACATCTCCAGACGTAGCACCCCCAGGCTCAGCAGCTCCAGACTCAGTACCCCCAGGCTCAGCAGCTCCCAACCCAGCACCCCCAGACCCAGCACCCCCTGGCTCAGCAGCTCCAGGCACCGTACCCCCCAGCTCAGCACCCCCAGGCTCAGCACCCTCCGCAGTAGCACTCCCAGGCCCAGCACCCCCAGGCTCAGCACCCCCAGTAGTAGCACCTCCAGGCTCGGCACCCCCGCGCACAGCACCCCCAGAGTCAGCACCCCCAGGCTCAGCACCCGCAGCAGCACCAGAGTCACCAGTAACCTCGACCGGGTCAACAGCGTCTACCTGGGACACACCTGAGGGGGCAGGAACCTGAGGGGGGAGGGGGTCTACCGGGGGGGGAACTGGCACAAGGAAGTCGGGCGGAGGGGGGAGGGAAGGAGTGCGGTAGGGGAAGAGGCGGTAGAAGGGGACTGACTCGTCGAACGGGACGTCCTGGGAGGACAGAACACTACGAGAGGAGGGGTGGTAAAACTGCCACCCGGGAGCGTCTGTGGGGAAGCCAAGGAAGACACAGGGAGCAGCACGAGGGGACAGCTTGTCCGCAGACAAGTCGCGGACAAACGCCCGAGATCCCCAGACACGGAACGCCGACGCATCGCCAACCTTCCCCGTCCACAGCAAAGCTGGGGAGGTCTCTGGTCGGGAGACTCTGGGCTGAAGGTTGATCTGATGCGCGGCGTACCGAACCGCAAACGGCCACAGAAAATGGGGGGCAGCCGCATGCACCATGGACGTACGGGCGACGTCCATGACAATGCCGATGCGGCGCTCAGCAATCCCATTCTGCTGTGGAGAGTCCGGAAGCGTGAAGGTCTGGCGGATTCCTCGTGCCCGACAGTAGGCTCGCAGAAGGCCGGAGGAGAACTCTCCGCCTCTGTCCGAATGCAGACGCAGAACAGGAAAGTCCGAGCCGAAGCTCCGCCTGAGCTGGAGACGAGCTGCGCGGATCCAGTCGATCAACACCTCAGTGACCTCACCCTTGCTGCGCAAGGGGAAGACTGTGGTGTAACGCGAGTAGTCGTCAACCACCAGCAGGAAGTAGCGCTCGTGACCCTGTCCACGGACGCGGGCTGGGCCCCACACGTCCATGTGAAGCGTCTGCATCGGGGCCTTCGTCGGAGGGAACGGGGAGGAGTGAGGGGTAGCCCGCAGGCGACCCTCGACACAGGGGACACAGGGAGGGCCAGGCCCCGGAGGAAGGGGAGGGAGGGACCGGGGAAGGCCAGAGACAAGAAGGCGAGAGGCCATGCCCCGGAGACGAGGCAGGGAGGGGTGACCCATCCTGTGGTGCCCTGTGGTCTCGTGGGACAGGAGGCGACACGAGCAGGGGGCAGACTCAGGACCAGACCTGGACGCTGCAGCAAACACCTGACCCGACGCAGCTACCTGACCAGACGCAGGAGAAGGAGACGGAACAGTGAGTGTGTACAGGCTCGACCCTGGACCACGTGTGAATGTGGTCAGGTGTCGACCCGTGTCCGCGTCCGTGCAGTGGGTGACTCGTCGGCGCGCAGGGGTGAACTGGTCAACCCCTGCATCCTGTAGGTCAGCACCCGCCACCAAGTTCGTAGAGAACGAGGGGAGGTAGAGACCGGACAGGGCGCCAGACGGGACCGCAGGGCACGGCAGGACAGTGGAGTAGCGAGCCAGAACAGGACCCCCGGAGGGGTCTGCCAAGGAGACCGCCACTGGCCGACTAAGCGGCGTGAGTGTGGTGCGGTCTCGAAAGAAGGAGCGAGACGCCCCGGAGTCAAGAGTGAAAGTGAGAGAGGGTGAAGTCGACACAGTACTTGAGAGAGCAGACTCACCAGCACCTGAGGACTCAGACTCACTGGCACCTAGAGCAACAGCCTCACCAGCACCTGGAGCAGCAGCCTCAACAGCACCTAGAGCCGCAGTACCAATGCCCGAGGCGGGCGGGAAACACCGGTAACAGTCACTCTCCTCACTAATAGTCACAGCATACATAGCAGCAAGAATAGCATCAAAGTCAAGATCAAAGATAGCTACTCCAGCCCTAGACAGCTGGTCCCAGCGAGGGATCTCAGAGGCGTCAGGAAACTGGCGGCGCCAAGCGTTAGTCAGGCGGCCGAAGCAACGCTGGGCGGAGTGTGGACCACCACACTGCTCACCCGCACGGTCGCCAGTGCGCAGGACGTAAGTGCACGGACCAGTACCCCCACCCCGCTGACGTGCAGAGTACCACTCACGGAGCTGCTGCGGGGTGTCTCCTGACCACGCTGCTGCTGCTGGCGCTGACCACCATCGGAGCCACTCCTCCTTGGCTCGCCACGACCTCCGCCGCCTCCTCCGCCGCCTCCTCCGCCGCCGCCGCCACCACCTCCACCGCCACCGCCACTCCCACCGTCGCCGCCGCCACCGCCGCCTCCGCCTCCACCCCCACTACCACCGCCGCTGCCGCCCCCGCCTCCACTGCCTCCGCCGACACCTCCACTCCCGCCACTACTCCCGCTACCACCCTCACCTCCGCCGCTGCCTCTACCTCCGCCTCCACCGCCCCCGCCGCCTCCACCACCGCCCCTGCCTCCCTTGCTCTTGCTAGAGCGACGTCTCCCGCTGAGGGCAGACGCCGCTCCGACCGACTCAAAACCAACCAGGTCGGCCGTAGCAGCAGAGGCGACAGAGGGCAGGAGGGGGGAGGGGGAACACCCCTCAAAGATGGGGGTGCGCGGGTCACCACGAGAGGCCCCTACAGCGAGAATGCTCTTCTCGGCTGCGAGGAGGGACTTCTCGAGGATCTCGACAGTGAGAGTGGTCAGGCAGACTGCGAGTAGGTCGTCCCTGACTCCGCGAAGGGAGTCAGGGAGGCGGGTGACAATGTAGTAGAGAGTGAAGTACTGGGGGGGGGGGGTTCTTGGCGCAGAACTCAGCAGGAAGTGCAGCGCGGAAGCGAGCGTCACTAGTGCGCAGGTGGGTAATGAGGTCGGCGACTGTGGCAAAAGCAGCAAGGTCGGGAAAGAGGTACGGTAGCATGAGGCGGCTCAGTGCAGCAGTGGCAGGGGTGGAGTAGCGTGCGATAACGGCGTCGTACAAGGTCTTAGCACTCTTGTACGACCCAAAGTGAGCACGCTCAGCGGGAGGGAGGTGGCGACGCACAGCAAGACGTGCAGCAGCATCGCGTGTGGCCCACACTGAGCGAACAGTGGCATCCTCAGTAGCAGCAGGGGCGGGAGAGGCACCAGAAGTGAGATCAAAGAGAGAGAGTCCGTCAGCTCTGTCGCACTGTAGGAAAAGCAGTAGGTCGTCTACCCATACGTCAAAGTCAATGGCTCTGCCCTCAGCGTCAAAGGTGAGGACACTGGGGGTAGCCATGACAGCAGTAGAGAGAGGGCAGTGCGCAGAGTAAAGCTCAGTGCTCACCAGACAGGGCAGTGCAGGGAGGGCTCGGGCGGCTCGGGCGGCTCGACTGCTGGGCGGCTCGGGCGACTCGGCGGCTCGGGCGGCTCGGGCGGCACTGCAGCTGGGGCGGCTCGGCTGCTGGGGCGGCTCGGCTGCTGGGGCGGCTCGGCTGCTGGGGCGGTTCGGCTGCGGGGGCGGTTCGGCCGCTGGGGCGGCTCGGCGGCTGGGGCGGCTCGGCTGCTGGGGCGGCTCTGCTGCTGGGGCGGCTCGGCCGGGAGATGCAGGGGCGGGGCCGTCAGGTGCAGCGGCGGGCCGGCAGGTGCAGCGGCGGGTCGACCGGTGCAGCGGCGAGTCGGCAGGTGCAGCGGCGGGTCGACCGGTGCAGCGGCGAGTCGGCAGGTGCAGCGGCGGGGCCGTAGGGTGCAGCGGCGGGCAGGTAGGTGCAGCGGCGGGGCCGTCAGGTGAAGCGGCGGGCCGCTGGGTGCAGCGGCGGGCCGTAGGGTGCAGCGGGGGGGGGGCCGGCAGGTGAAGCGGCGGGCCGCTGGGTGCAGTGGCGGGCCGTAGGGTGCAGCGGCGGGCCGGAGGGTGCAGCGGCGGGCCGTCAGGGCCGCGTCAGAGCCGGCGGCGGGGCCGCGTCAGTGGAGGCAGCGGGGCCGCGTCAAGCAGGCGGCGGGGCCGCGACGAAGCGGGCGGCAGGGCCGCGTCAGAGCCGGCGGCGGGGCCGCGTCAGTGGAGGCGGCGGGGCCGCGTCAGTGGAGGCGGCGGGGCCGCGTCAAGCAGGCGGCGGGGCCGCGATCAGGAGGGGCAGCGGGGCCGCGAGGGAAATGGCGACCCGAGGGGTCGCTAAAAAAAAATGCGCGCCTCGGGGCGCGCTTCGGTGGGCCCTAAAAAAACGGTCCTTAGGAAGGACCCGCTCTATACCATGTGAAACAAGTGAACAGGAATGTGTGAACTATGAATGAAGGCAGTACAAATATGAAACCCTAACTGGGTTGTACCCCCTATGGGATACCACACTACAGCCTACACAATAGTATAAGCTATAGATATGTTCTGACAACTCACAGCAATTCGCAGCGGCAAAAGGAGTCTATTACGTAAAAGCTGGAACCGACCGCATCTGGGTACCAGGATACACGCTACTGCGGGAACTACTGTTACAGGAAGCACACGATGGAGTTACCTCGGGACATTTCGGGGTAGAAAAAACACGGCAGCAGCTGCAGCGGTACTACTACTGGCCAGAAATGTTGACCGATGTGCAACGACACGTGGCATCGTGCCCCACTTGCCAGCTCATGAAGTCAAGCAGGAAGCGGCCGGCGGGACAATTACAACCCATCCCGCCCCCAGAGCGTGCTTGGCAGCAGGTGACGATGGATTTCGTCACGGGGTTACCAGCTGGGGCGAGTGGGAATGACGCGATCCTGGTCGTCGTCGATCGACTAACGAAGATGGCTCATTTCGCAGCATGCAGGAAATCAATCACAGCCGAGGAAACCGCCCGACTCTTCATCACCACCGTCGTTCGACTGCACGGGATACCCGCATCGATCATCAGCGACAGGGACACGAAATTTACAAGCAACTTCTGGCGGAACCTGTGGCAGCAGTTCGGCACGCGCTTACAGTTCAGTTCATCCTATCACCCCGAAACCGACGGACAGACGGAACGGACAAATCAGACCATGGAGCAGCTGATTCGAGCCACGTGCGACGATCCGAATACGTGGGAACAGCAGCTGCCACTCATCGAGTTCGCATACAATAACGCATCATCAGCCACGACGCAAGAGTCGCCGTTTTACTTGAATTACGGACAGGACCCAACAGTACCCATGCCACCGAATCCCGACAACCCCGTCCCACGAGCACAACAGTTCGCCGAGATTCTGCAAGCAGCACGGACCAGGGCAGCAGAAGCAATCAAAAAATCAAACATCATCGCTAAACGCAACGCCGATCGCCATCGCAGACCCATTACTTATCAGCCCGACGACCTCGTTTTACTCGACACTCAGAACCTCCGCCTGCCCATCACTCCAAAACTCCGCCCTCGATACTGTGGGCCATTTCGAATCAGTCACATGGTTACGCCAGTCACCGCGCACCTCCTCCTCCCTGCTGACTGGTACGTCAGCCCCTCGTTCCACGTTAGCTTACTTCGCCCTCACGTGCCATCCACCAGCCAACTCCCACGACATCGACCCACCAGCATGACACGACCACCAACCGA